CAATACAAATGGACTCATCTGTCACAAACGAGCATACTGGCCTCACAGTGTTCTCAGGAGAAAAATTCTGGCCCTTGACAAATGTAGTTGATGACCCTGCCTTACGGTCTCTCCATTGCCAACCATCTGCCTCCCTTCCCCATCGAACCCGAAACTATGTCATGGCTCTCAGAGAAATATGCCCCATTCATAAGCTGCGTCAATTTACAACCATGTATCAGCTTTGTTAATCACCATCCGCTGCATGTTTGTAACTACTTGGGGGGGTGAGCCCCTCCCACAGGCTTATTCCCTCCAGTCAAGTTTCATTCACTGCGCACGGTAAAAAGAAATGGCTTGGAACACCAGCTGTCAAAGAGGCCTAGCGGCACTGTCTCTCTCTGCCAGCATTCTAGTTTGAGGACTACAAGGAACAAGGGACCAAAAAAACTGGGAGGCGTGGACAAAACATCAGAAACTGTTTTGTTTACTTGTCACAGCCTACAGGATTCATTAGCTTGCCATTACTTATGTTTAACTACACAGGAGACCGCTTCTGGACATGACACAAAACCCCATCGGCACCTCCAGCTGCGTTGCTTTAGCCCCAGAAAAAGCCGGTATTGGGTCACCAGCGCGCTCCTCAGGCTGCCAGGTCTTCAGCTGTCACCGGGGAGTCACCTACCCAGAGAACCAGGCACGAGCGAGAGGGCCATGTCCTGGGCCAGGTGAGAGACCATGCTCCCTGTGAGGCCATTGCAGTTTGATCTCAGACCGGAAGTGATTCATCATCAGTTTGTCCCCCCCACTCTGTACTGTGGCTTCTGTCTAAACACCATCTTGTCATCATCATCTAGTCCTTTCCTCTCCCTGGAATCTCACTTACGTGTATTTTCCCAGGTATAAGGTTGCCATCACCAAGCAGAAGGACCTCGAGCAGAGCTGTGGCAGTCTGTACAATCAGCACGACATCTGGAATCCAGCTGTTGACTTTAGCAAGTACATTGAAGACAATGAAAGCATTGAAAATGAGGTGTGTGTGTGGGGTGGGGTTTCATTTGGCAACTTTCTTCAAATCTAAAAATTAAATGAAATCAAACATATAATGTACTTTCCTTATTACTCCTTATTTATTTTTTGTCCCTAGGACCTGGTTGCCTGGGGTGACGCAGCCGCCCGCCCGCCCGGGCTTCTCAAAACATCCCCCACTCGAGGACATCCCCAACACAGTAACGGTGGGCAATGGGGGCGGGGTCTTGCTGCGGCCACACAACTACTTTGATGAGGACCCGTCCATCCACTCTGCCGATGGGGTGTACTTTGACCCGGGCACAGAGAACAGCTGCGACAACAACAGGATGGCCTGCCTTGCTCAAAAGACCTGCAGCCCCGTGCTGGAACCCTTCACTTACCATGGCTTTGATGTAAGCTCTCAGGGAAGCAGAAGAAGGAGCACTTAAAATGTGATTCTTCCTTTGTGTTGTGATTTTAATTTTGTTTTTATGAAACTACAATACAATCATTTTGATTAATATATTTAGAATTTATTTTAAATATAAAAATATTCAAATGGAACCAACCTAATGTGTAATGAACTGAACTGAACTTATTGCTTGATGAAAATGCGGCTTTAGTCTTGTTAAAGTAGCAATGACAGCATACAAATGGACACGAGAATGATCACCATGTATCATTCACTGTCTAAATGTACAGTCACATTACCCTTTATTAAAGAAAAATGCTGGCTCTTCTTACTATTAATCTGCTGATATCAGGCCAAATGCATATTATTTGCTTCCACATATCCCTCCAGCACTTTCTCCTTATGATTAACTCTTAAGTTTTGTGTTCATGTCTGTGTTTTACCAAGAGTAGCAAAAGTCTGTGAGAGTCCCCTCAAAGACTCCACAATCTTTTCTACCAACTGTATAAACATTTATTACAAGTAGTTAATTTCTTGATGTAAGTAATTGTAAGTAATATATCCGGGAATTAGACAAATATTGAGGTTGGGATACAAAACACAAAATTAAACACAATACGACAAACTGTTTTGAAGTAGCGAGGACTATTGCAGCCCTCGAATGAGGACGCAGATAAGCCTTGCATTGGTCAACCATTGTATTCAGTTTCCTCTCCAAAACTGTTTTGAGGGAGGCAAAAATGACAAGCTGTCAAGCTACATGGAAAAATAACAAAAACGTGGGTTGTTATTTAGTCACTTAGTACCACAGGTGCAGTTTGTGTTGGTTCAGGGGGCCTGATCAGTAACAATGTTTAGCAGCATACATATTAGTCTGGTCTGCTCGAGTTGACTTACCTTTGTTATGAGTTATAAGTTATGTGTAAGTGCAATTTTTTGATTTAGATTAAACAGAGGCCTAAATAAATGGATATACTGTAACACCAGGCTATATCTCAATTATATACAACAATATTTATTTTTCTAAAAACAAAACTGGGCAGTAAGAAAGTAAACCATCAATAATCAATAAGGGACATAGTGGTGGAGTTGGAGAGGGGAGTGGGGGGCCACGGATTGTGTGTTTTACAGTAGCTTTTGCTATATGAAAAATTTGAATAATATCAACCATTAATTTACACCATATTATCCTTTTCTCAGTGATTTAATAGATCTATTGTTGGCATACTGACAACTGTTTTCTCTGGTTGGAGAGACTGCCCACCAATTGCAGCTTTGTAGGCAGGATTAAGAATGGCGATGTTATTCTTAAATGGCAGTAAACATCCTTTTGATAAGAGCACGTGAGCTGACCACCCTGAGCATGATGTGAGAGAAAAATGGTAAATATGGTGATGACTGATACTGAATATGCAGCATTTTACTTTTCTGTCTAGTTTCCTCTGATAAGCAGTGAGACAATGTGAAGGAATGAGATCCTGCAGCAGCGTAATGTAGAGCTGTATGTCACAGGCTCAAGATAGAATCTGTGTGTTGTTGTTGCCTTTGTTTTGCTCTCTTTGTAACAAGCCCACTCTCAAACTGTTGCCTATTATATCTGAGAGGAAACTGCACATACACTGACACGCACGCACACACGCACACAC